CCAAGAAAAAAGCATTCCAAGGAGGAAGGAGGGATCAACTATCCTGCTGCTGAGAGACTGTAGAAGATGAAGATAGAGGTGTGACTTTTGGTTTTGGCAAGAAGGAGGCACTAGAGACCTTGGCAAGAACAGCTCAGTGGAACATGTGAACTAAGCCTGTATGGGCAGCGGGGAGGAGAGGAGATATGGAGACATCCCTTTGGAAAGATTGTACTGTGGGAAGGACAGGTGGTTGATGCTCCAGTCTGAAAAATTTTACTGGATTTGCAGTAAGGCTCAGTGCTACCTCTCTCAAATGGAATTGGTGGAGACACTTTAAATTTTGAGGACCTTGCTGCACTGGTCCAAGAGAGAGGTGAGAGTCTGGGAAGGGGTTAGAAAAGATGGAGATAACCATGGGTAAGGGGAGAGTGAGAAGGGTCTAGAGAGAGCATGGCCCGCTGGACACCCATGTAGGGTAAATGGACTACACAGTGATTTAATGGGATGAGGGAAGAAGTGCCTGGCATCATTTTGTAGATTCTGCACACACATATGGGAATATCTAAAAGTTTCACTGGTAATATGGACCGTGACCTACATTACCTATCCAGAGCTTATGGCCCTAATCAGGAGATCTGTATATATCCCAAGGAGATACATACACACCTACAGTCTCTACAGGCTCACCTGTGTGAGCACATGCACACACACACACACACACACACACACACACACAATCAGAAGCACTAACACACCTGGGCATTTCACCCTGCACCTTTGTCTCCTCCATAATGTGTAACATGGGTTGAACATATATGATGTCAAATAGCAAGAGACACTTGTCTTCTGTGTCAGGAAGACACAGAATGATGAGGACAGGTGAAGTGGAGCAGCTGATCACCCATCTTAAGAAGTTAGCCACCACCCAGCTCCTTTGGTTACTCTACTGGTTTCGTATTTGTTGCTGTAAAAATTGCTACAAATTTAGTAGCAATATGAAACAACATATTTGTTATCTTATAGTTCTGGAGATAAGAAGTCCAAAATAGGTCTTATAGGGTTTGTGATGTTGTGCTTTTTATTAGGGCTGTCTTGTAACACTGAGCCCTCAACCTGTGGAATCCAATGCTGTCTCCAGGTAGATCGTGTCAGAATTGAGTTGTATTCTCGGAAATCCTGCTGGTGACTGAAAATTGCTCAGTGGAATGTGCCCCCGACCCCAACCTATTTTGGAATTGGTACCATGATTCTGCACACACATATGGGAATATCTAAAAGTTTCACTGGTAATATGGACCGTGACCTACATTACCTATCCAGAGCTTATGGCCCTAATCAGGAGATCTGTATATATCCCAAGGAGATACATACACACCTACAGTCTCTACAGGCTCACCTGTGTGAGCACATGCACACACACACACACACACACACACACACACACAATCAGAAGCACTAACACACCTGGGCATTTCACCCTGCACCTTTGTCTCCTCCATAATGTGTAACATGGGTTGAACATATATGATGTCAAATAGCAAGAGACACTTGTCTTCTGTGTCAGGAAGACACAGAATGATGAGGACAGGTGAAGTGGAGCAGCTGATCACCCATCTTAAGAAGTTAGCCACCACCCAGCTCCTTTGGTTACTCTACTGGTTTCGTATTTGTTGCTGTAAAAATTGCTACAAATTTAGTAGCAATATGAAACAACATATTTGTTATCTTATAGTTCTGGAGATAAGAAGTCCAAAATAGGTCTTATAGGGTTTGTGATGTTGTGCTTTTTATTAGGGCTGTCTTGTAACACTGAGCCCTCAACCTGTGGAATCCAATGCTGTCTCCAGGTAGATCGTGTCAGAATTGAGTTGTATTCTCGGAAATCCTGCTGGTGACTGAAAATTGCTCAGTGGAATGTGCCCCCGACCCCAACCTATTTTGGAATTGGTACCAGAACCTATTTAGAGATAAATTCAGAGTGTTGGCAGGGTTGCTGTCCTTCTAGAGACTCTAGGGAGAATCTGCTCTTTCCTTTTCTATCTTCTAGAAGCTGCATGAATTTCTTGACTCATGGCCTCCTTCCATCTTGAAAACCAATAATCACATCACTCTGACCTCTACTGCCCTGATTCTGACTCTTCTGCCTCCTTCTTTTATTTGTAAGGACCCTTGTGATTACATTGGGTGCACCCAGAAAATCCAGAATAATCTCCCCATCTCAGGATCTTTACCTTAATCATATCTGAAAAGTCCTTCTCCATATAACATAGTCACAGGTTCCAGGGATTAGAATGTAGACATCTTTGAGGACTCTCATTCTGCCTATCACAGTTGCTAAATGTGAATGAAAGCCCCAATTCTTTTCAGATAAGCTAAAAATCTGGATTTTTTTATATGACTGTGCAGGAAAGAGTTAATATAGCAAGCCTGAGACTGCCTTCCTTAGATTTGCTTGCAAGGTTGGCCCTTGGCTGGCATCTGGGAACTTTGATCTTACAGTGTAGTTAACCATGAACTGATAAGGACGTTCACTGTACCTAGACTTGTACATAAACAATATGGTTTATACTGAATACCTGCTTTTCTTCTAGCAGTCTGGAATTTGGGTGTATACTAGGCAGAGGTGCCTATGTGACCAAACTCCACTAAAATCTTTGGTTGCTGAGTCTTTAATGGGATTCCTTGAGCAGAAATACTGCAGAGAAATGTTGCTCCGTTTTCATTTCGGAGAAAGAGTCCACTATGTGAGCCCTTATGGTAGGGAAAGAGCATAGATTCCTTCAGACTCGGCTTGTGTCTTTTCCCCTTATGATCCAGCAGTGTGTCCTTCCTACATCACTGTGATAATCCTTAGCTGGGAGTACAACTTTATGCGGAGTTCTATGAGTTCTTCCAGCAAATTTCCTACCATGGGGATGGTCTTGAGGATGCCCCAACCCAAGATAATTCCTGATTTTTCTCATATTCTAAATGCTATAGGGGTTAACACTGAGAGGGCCAAACAAAACATTTCTGAGTGGGACTTGGGCTTCCAGGCTGCCAGTTTTCAACTTCTGGCTTCTTAGATTTCTGCCCTACTTTTAGTCCCATCGCTGAAGTGAAACAATTTCTCTGATGAACACTTTGCAAATGCTAACCACATGCCAAGCACCATACTAGGAACTAGTACAAAAATGAGTAAAACACAATCCTTACATTCAACAAGTTTGCTATTTATTAAGATGGAAATGTACACAAATAACAGCAGCATATGTGCTACACACACTAAAATAAATGAATATAATGCTCTAAGCATCAAGACAGCTGCTTACACAGTGCTTTGCTGTGTATGTACACATCCCTATATTCATCTGGTCCTCACAATCCAGAATTATTGTTATTATCCCAGTTCTACAAAGGAAGAACCTGACCCTGATGGTCCAAGAGGTTTAGGGTCTTGCCTAAGATAGTTCAAATCTCTTACAATACTCATTTGCTGGGGGTGGGGCTGCACAAGGATAAAAGAGGGCCAGGGAAGGTTTGCAACATGCCATGTGTTCTGTAATCACCAAGGGCCTTGCTTTGTAGAGACCATGACCCTATTTCCCAAAGTGGCTTCACTGTATGCTCTTGCCAGTGTTCTTTTTTATGAATGTCCTACTCTTCCAACTATGTGGCAAGTCTATTTCACCTTTCCACACTTTGCCTAAGTAAGGTGTCAAATAGCTATTTTGTTAGTAGGAAGTTGCCATTGCTGTTTTATTCTGTTGTGTTGTATTGTCGGACAACCCTGACCCTGGGAAACACTAGGGTAGGAGACGCAGGTGAATCTTTTCCAAGTGACTAGCCTGGGAGACAGGTTTCCTAATGTGCCAGTGGGCACATGGGGGGCACTACCTGATGACTTCCCTGGTGAAGGGAGACAGCTAGAAGATTTAAGGCATGTAAAAGAAAGCAGAAGTAGATAGAAATGTGCATTCTTATAAGAAATGGAAATGAAGTGAAGAAAGAACGAATAGCCTCTGCTGAAGGCCACTGCCTGAAAGCTGAGCTTCTTAAGATGCAGGTGGCAGATCTTGCCCATGGCTTAGGAACAGAAGAGGATGGGAAAGTCAAAATCAGCCATAACATCAGAATCCCATTTTCTTTTTTCCTCTTCGAAGACAACAAACATTTTGATACCTCACAACAATGCTTTCAGGTCTTCTTTTCACAGATGAAGATGCCAAGGACTCAGTGAGGTTAAGTCACTTGCCCAAGGTCACATAGGGCAGTGAGGATGCGAATCCAGATCTCGAGAGCTTCAGTGCAGGGGCCCGGCGGTTCTGGCAGCAGGAAAGTGGGCAGGTGGACGGCGTGGTTGACGGGGCCATTGACCGGCGGGCAGCCGGAGAGACGCGGCGTATCCCCGCGATTGCCCCTTGTACGGAGATAAACTGCTGGGTTTGACTCTGCGTGGCAGCCTTAGGGATCGGCACCCTGGGGCTCAGGCTGTGCAGCTCCTGGTCCTCGGCCGCCCACGGGCGTTGGCGAAGGCCAGCCGCCCGGGCCAGGGACCAGCAGGCGGTGAACCGCAGCAAGGGGTTCCCCGGGGACCAACCAGAGCCAGGCAGCATGCCTGAGCCTCCTGGGAGGCGAGGCAGGAAGGGTACGGACGAAGGCCGCCAGCAGTCACTGTGGAAGGACAACCTAAGCAGCACCTCGCCTAAGTCAGAACACCTGAGCGGTGGGCACCCCCATGACGAAGGTGCAAGCAAGACGCGCCCTCCCATTGCACCCTGCGTCCCTGCAGCAGGGCTCAGAAGCCGGGGGTATTGGCTCCAGAGAGTGAAGGGTTAAAGCCCCAGTCTCTACTCCTAACGCACTTCCGACAGGTGGGCGCCCGGGGCACGGCAGCGGGAGGGAGCCCGCTGTAGCCCCACCCCTCGGGGCCTCCTACCCCTGGGGTGTGGTCTAGAGCTGCCCAGCCCCCAGTGGGCGAGCGGAGCGCGCGGGCCCGGGCCCCGCCCCCCACCCCCCCACATATAAGAGCGGTGCGGCACTGCAGCTAGCGCACTTCTCACTGAGACCCGTCACCCGGACTCGGAGTGAGACCTACCGCCCGGCTCCACCATGGTGAGTGCGACGGCGCCGGGATCACACCAGGCTCCTCATTGCCCCTCTCCTTCAGGTCCCCTCCGTCGCGGGATGCTCAGGACCCTCCAACCCACGTTCCGGGTTTTGAGGAGGTTTTTGCATTCACTCCTCACCCCACCCCCTCCTGGTGACTTTGGCCGATCCCGGTCGTCCGCTTTCGGGGATGGAGGAAGCGGGTGAAGAGGGGTGGGATTCTTTGCTAGCAGAGTGGGGTACTCAAGGAAAACCCTTCCTGCTCCACCAAGCAATGGTGCCCTAACCTTCCCGAGAGGAGTCACGAGGTCCAGCACCCAGCCCTTTCCGCCAGCGAGGAAGACCCGCTTAGCTTCCTCCGCCCCTAGCCTACCAGCCCCAGTCCCTGGAACAGACCGAACACGTGCTGGGCGCAAGAAGGTGGAAAGGGGTCAGATTACTAGGTTCAGCATCCCCTTCTCCTCCACCTGTGTGTGTATCCCTCCTACCCACAGCAACCCCCGTGACTCAGCACCCCACTTCTGATCCGGGAGGGATGGCGGGAATGGGATTCGGCCTCATGAGGCGAGCCGACGCGTCTCCAGCCGGATCCGGGGTGCGCGGACGAGAAGAAACAGCTGGCGCTGAGCTGAAGCGCCAGCCTTAGCCAGGCTGGGGGAAGGGGAAACAGGTGTGTGTAGGGGAATGGTATTTATAGACCAGGAGCGGAGGCCGAAATCCAATCCTCACTTTCAGCTGGGATGTAACTGGAAAGAATCTAGAAGGGGGGCAAAGCAGGACGGGGATGCAGAATGGCGTTCACCCTGCCCAGGGCAGGGCGGGTTACCTCTGGCGCCACACCACAGGTTCCGCTTCCTTTTCTGAGTATTTGGCAACCATCACCCCGCCATTTCGGTGTTGGCAAGGGAGGCTGCCCACACCCCGCGCCACACCACTTTGGCTCTTCAGGGGTTAAATTCAGACTGGCAGGGACGAGCCCAAGACAGCCAGTGCTCACAACTCTTATTACCAGGACCTGCCTTCTGGGCTCTGCTATTTCCGAGAGGGCCACTCCGGTGGATGAAGGTAGTGAAGACACCCACAGTGCAGGGGTGGAGGTGGGGAGAGGAGCCCAGAAGGGATTTAAAGGTGGGGAGAGAGGGCCTTCTGATGGCCAGTGTGGTCAGTTGATGCCAGACTGGAAGGCTGAGACACTTCTGCAGCCCACAGGAACAGAAGGGGAGAGGGTTATATGAAATGCTAGCTGTTCGTCCTCAAAGCAAAGAATCAAGTCAGGTGGGGGTTGGGGGGAATGGAGGGGTGCTCTAAGTATAAACTCACAGCTCTGTAAAACCTGTCCCTTCTCAGGCATTTGAGAAGCTGGATTTGAGGAGGAAGGATTGGGAACAGCTGAAAAGTCACTTGTTTTTGTCTCAGTTACTGCAGTGTCTGCCTGTCTCATATGCACTTGCCCTCTGTCCTCCCTGAGTGTCCTGCGAGTGTGACAGGGTCAAGTGGAGCTACAGCCACTATTTGACAAGGTCCCCACAGAGAATTAGGCTAAGGGGTTGACCTGCCCTACTGAGTTCCTCCAGTCCTATGCAGAGGAGTCTGGGCAGGCTGCCAGCTTCTGACCTCTGCCCAGCCCCAAGCCTCCACTTTTGCCGACTGAGCCATCCTAGATGGTAGGTGGTAGGGTGGAAGAGAAGCTCATGAGGTAAGGACTTGTGGATGCGGGGCTTATGCTGTGTCCCCTTTCTTAATCCCTCAGCGTGAATGCATCTCAGTCCATGTGGGACAGGCAGGTGTCCAGATGGGCAATGCCTGTTGGGAGCTCTACTGTCTGGAACATGGGATTCAGCCTGATGGGCAGATGCCCAGTGACAAGACCATCGGAGGAGGGGACGACTCCTTCACCACTTTCTTCTGTGAAACCGGCGCTGGAAAGCATGTGCCCCGGGCAGTTTTTGTGGATTTGGAGCCCACTGTAATTGGTGAGAGGAAGAAGGGATAGAATTGAAGGGAGTGGAAAGTGACTCTAAGCTTCTTTTTGGTGTCCAGACCTGGGTCTCCTGGCCCTGAAAACTCCTCACCCGGTTTGAAACTAAAGAAGGCAAGCTGATCACAGGCTGGCCTGGGCAGCAAGTCTGGGTTTCTCCCACTCTGGTATCTCACACTGGCAGAAGGACAAGTTATTCCATACATCTGACCACAACTAACACATTGGGGGAGGGAGATCCCTGCTAAGCATGGCCTTGTGGTTTGTGCCCTAACAATGTGGTTTGTGCCTTTCCAGATGAGATCCGAAATGGCCCATACCGGCAGCTTTTCCACCCAGAGCAGCTCATCACTGGGAAAGAGGATGCTGCTAACAACTATGCCCGAGGTCACTATACCATCGGCAAGGAAATCATTGATCCAGTACTGGACAGGATCCGTAAGCTGGTGAGAACCTGGGATGGTAGAGAGGGAGCTTGAAAGTGATGCTAATGGTCAGAACAATTTTATTTTTTCCAGATCCATTTCAGGGGGTCATCTCTAATTCTATGTGTTCCAGAACATGTCTTGATATGGAACATTCTTTGGTCTTTGTCCATACCCTGGCTTTTGTGGAGCTGGAAGGTAGGCTTCCTCAGGCCCCTCCCCTACATACAATGCTCTTTCTTTTCCTTGCCTTTCAGTCTGATCAGTGCACTGGACTTCAGGGCTTCTTGGTGTTCCACAGCTTTGGAGGGGGCACAGGCTCGGGCTTCACCTCGCTCCTCATGGAGCGGCTCTCCGTTGACTACGGCAAGAAATCCAAGCTGGAGTTCTCCATCTACCCAGCCCCCCAGGTGTCCACAGCCGTGGTCGAGCCCTACAACTCCATCCTGACCACCCACACCACCCTGGAGCACTCAGACTGTGCCTTCATGGTGGACAATGAAGCCATCTATGATATCTGCCGCCGCAACCTGGACATCGAGCGCCCAACCTACACCAACCTCAACCGCCTCATCAGCCAAATCGTCTCCTCCATCACGGCTTCCCTGCGCTTCGACGGGGCCCTCAATGTGGACCTGACAGAGTTCCAAACCAACCTGGTGCCCTACCCTCGTATCCACTTTCCCCTGGCCACGTATGCACCAGTCATCTCTGCAGAGAAGGCCTACCACGAGCAGCTGTCAGTGGCAGAGATCACCAATGCCTGCTTCGAGCCTGCCAACCAGATGGTGAAGTGTGATCCCCGTCATGGCAAGTACATGGCCTGCTGCCTGCTGTACCGTGGAGATGTGGTGCCCAAGGATGTCAACGCCGCCATCGCTGCCATCAAGACCAAGCGCAGTATTCAATTTGTGGACTGGTGCCCCACAGGCTTCAAGGTTGGTATCAACTACCAGCCACCCACTGTGGTGCCTGGGGGTGACCTGGCCAAGGTGCAGCGTGCCGTATGCATGCTGAGCAACACTACCGCCATCGCTGAGGCCTGGGCCCGCCTGGACCACAAGTTCGACCTGATGTATGCCAAGAGGGCGTTTGTGCACTGGTACGTGGGTGAGGGCATGGAGGAGGGTGAGTTCTCCGAGGCCCGGGAGGATATGGCTGCCCTGGAGAAGGATTACGAAGAGGTGGGCATCGACTCCTATGAGGATGAGGACGAGGGAGAAGAATAGAGCAGCTGCCTGGAGCCCACTCAATATGTTTATTGCAAAATTATTTCGAAATAAACAGTCTCCGTGCACGGTTCCCTGTCCACTGTGAGTGCTTGAGCTTCTGCTGCCTTCCTCTCTGTGCTGCTGCTGCTGCCCTATTGGCTGCTTATGAGCCTTTTTCCCTCCATGGCTGCAGGTGGGACCCACAAAAGGGCCTTTTCCAGGTCCAGGAAACATAACCCCAGGGACCTTGATGTAAAATCCAAGGGGTGCCCAGGATAGGGAGAGAATGAGGACCAAATCCTGGACCTGTCTGTTTAGCCAGCTACAAGCTATTGAAGGATACAAGTCTTCACTTCCTTTCCATGTACAAGTTTTAAGTCCAGCAGTTCCTGTGTTTGACAGACTGCTACCTAATTCTTCCTGCTGCTTCTGCATTCACCGACTCTGGAAGCTTGGTCCAGGCACCCCTGTGCGTTATGAGGGCTTGTGAGTGGGGCTGAACTGGCCTAGAGTTCCTAGGCATGGAGCCTAGTCATAAGCTTGGGGGACGGGAGGGAACAAGGGCTATCTCCTAGAGCTGTTTGTGTCCCTGTGCCTCCCCGCAGCTTTGCTCACTGTCTTACTGCTTTGCAGGGGCCTAGGGCTGTGGCATTAAAAGTCAGGTCATCTCTCTTCTGTTTGTGCATTCTTTCTGGCTTCATCCTCTTTGCTAGCTGGTGGGAACTTCCTGCCAGGGCCCTGGGGGAAAATTTCTGCTTTGCTAATAGGCACCCCAGGGCCCACAATGACGTTAGTGTATAGGGATGGGCATGGTTTGGGGAAAGACACTTTAATCTCAGGAGCAGGAGATGCCAACCCTACCCTTGTCTCCCCTCTCTGGTGATTCAGGGACGCAGTGCCCTTCCCAGGGAAACAGGTTTCAAGTCTAGCAAAGGCAGGGCCCCTGTGTTTACTCAGCAGAACAGGCAGGAAATGGCAGCTGGATACTGCCACACCACACTGACCTCATTAATTATTAACTGTGTGAGCTAGAACCATCTGGGAGAGACTGAGCCAAAATGGCTGCCCCCTCCACTCCCCATGCCCCTAGGCTGAGGCTGGGAGACCTGTTCTGTTGCTGTCCCAAAGCTTCTTCAGGTGTCTCCACCCAGAAGCCTTTGCCTGGCAAACCGGCTGGGCTGCTTTGACTAAGCTACCCACCCCTGGGGATGAAGGAAGGAAAGAACAAGTTGAGTGTGCTTTTAGGGAGCCCTGGTTCCAGTTCTTGGCAGAGAACCTAGCTCAAGATAGAGTAGCTTTAAGTTTTTGACTAGGACAATCTAGGGGAAGGAATGTCCACCACTAACCAACCAGACCTAAGGTAAAGACACCTGCCTCATTATGTGGGATGATGAAGTCACACCATTCCTGAATCTTCATCAGTCCATCTTCTCCGCAGGCTGTTGCCATGGACATGGCTAACCAGACTTTGGGCCCCTTGTGCCTCTTATTTCACTCCAGGAACAATGAGACTGAGGTCCACACCAAGCTGCTTTAATTTTATTCTATTTATACATTCTCCTGCTCCCAGACTTAGAGGCAGACCATGATGTAACCTCAGCAGTCCCACTCGGGGCCTTTACCAGACTCTACCAGTTTCCCTCCCCGATCCCGTACTCTCACTCATCCCAGCTCAGTCAGGGACCCTGCCCAGTTGTTGCCCTTTGAGGTAAGAGAGCAGAAGCAGAGATAGAAGACTGAGCTGACTGTCCCAACTCCCCTTCCCCATCTACAAGACAGCAATCCTGGAGAGAATCGACGGACATTCTAATGAGGGATAGAAACCTCTTTCCAAGGCACCTTCTCAAAGTGGTCGCTGGTTTGTTCAGATCTGGGTAGTGTGCTGGCCCAAAGCTGGGGGTTGCAATGCCTCCAACTGACCGAGGATGACAGGAATGAGAGGACGCTGCTGGGGATCTACAGTCATCATCGAGGCCAGCAGCTGCCGCACTGCTGAAGAATGCCTGTGGAAGGAGGCAGGCAGCGTGACTGGAGGGTGCCCATCCCCCCGCTAAGGCTCCAACTCACTAATGTCAGGGAAGTGTCAGAAATGCTTGGTGCTCCTTTTATTGCTCACCTGGGGCTCTGTGGGATACTGAGTTGGTTCTGCACAGCAAGGGCCACACTGTCACCTTTCTGGAATACCATGTCATAAGGTCCTTCCCCAAACATCATGGCATATAGCACACAGCCTAGGGACTGAGCATAACTTGGTTATTCCTTGGAAGGGGACCAGTGGAGGTGATAGCTCTCCTCTTAATTCTGTAGTGAAAGATGACCATACAAGCTAAAAGGAATATGCCAACTTCAGCCACATGACACCACCAGGGCCCAGAGAAACTGCCAGTTAGCTGGAAGCCTCTGCACCCCTTGCTGAGCCACTGCCTTCAGTCCTGACATTTAGCTGCACCCATCCTGTTCAGAGGGTGGATTATACCACTTCTTGAGCAACTGAGTACAGTGTGAGGAACAGTTCCCAGGAAGGAAGTTGAGGGGGTTGGGGCCATACATGGTTCCTGGGGCCCCATGCACTTGAAACCAAAGATCTACATTCCACTGTAGGTATAGCGTAGCACTCCTCCCTACCCAGATCCCACCTACATTCTCCTCACCCAGACATCAGTCCGCTCATCAATGACACAGTGGCTCTGCACAGAGAAGAGCTCCGGGGCCCGGTAGGAGATGGTGCACCGCTGGGCTGCCCAGTCCTGGAAGAGTGGCCCCAGAGCTCAGAAGTGGGGTACAGATCATGGTCATGTGACCAAATGGAGGCATGCACTAGAAGGGGCTGGGGATGGGGGCAAGGTGGGCAAAGAAACTGGACACTCCCTTACCTGTAGGGCCAGAGCCTGGCGTGAGCCCTCCACATGAATGCATGCTTGATTCATGGAACCCAAGTCCATTAAAACCGGCTGTCCCTCATCTCCAAGCAAGATATTGGTGGGCTTCAGGTCTCTGTAGCAAAGTGGAAATGACGTATGAGCAATTCTGGACAGTGAGGCTTGAATCCCAGTGGGCAAAAGAATCATGGAGGCTGTGCCTTGGGAGATCAGAGCCCTCTCACTTCTCTGGGTGAAGCTCTTCCTTTCTGCCCCATCAAGTATACTGGGCCCTCCCACTGACCTGTGAGCATAACCCTTGGCATGAATGGCCTCAAGGCCTCTGCAGATACCAATCAGCAACTGAAGAATTTGCTCTTCAGTCAAGAAGTTGCCTTTGTCCTTCAGGCTTTCTATCTCGGTCCACAGCGTGCCTCTCTGCAACACAAATTTCCCCACAGTGGTGATGTTTTCTTGAGCCTCTACTCCCTGAGCCTGATTCCTTCCCTATGTTGAAGCCTATCAACCCTCTCACTGCACAAATCACACACGCCAGTCCCACTTGGGTTCCTCTAAACCCCAAATCTGAAGTGGTCAAACTCAGGACATGGCTTCTGCTTCTTAACATGCTTGCCTGCTCACACAGCCCTGGGTAGATGTCTCTGTTGCAACCCCCTCCATAACTAGGAGACTTTCTGACCTTGAAGAAGGGTAGCAATAGCCAGGCCTCATGTTTTGTGCCTCGCTCCCTCAGACAACAAGCCACAAGGCGAAGTATGTTGGGATGATGGAAGAGGCGATGCATGTCTGCTTCCCGCTGGGCCTCTTCCCGGTCCTGCTGCTCATGACACAGGATTCGCTTCAGGGCGTAGAAGTGTCCGTCATGTAACCCTTCCACTAGGTCCACATAGCTGAACCCACTGTGGGCCAAAGGGGTTAGTGAAGGACCACAGTCATCTCCCACACTGCTTGGACTCAGAGGAATTCCCTGAGAAGATGGGGGTGTCTTTCTCATTTAGTAGAAACCCTCCCAAAATGTGGCTGTAAGAGAAATCTGAAGAATATTACACTTCAAGCTCAAGAGCAGGGACAGAGTAATCTTTGAGGTCCTGTGGTCCTAATGCAGTGCGTTGCAAATGACAGATGTTCAGTAAGTATTAAATAAAATAATAGTCAATGTTAATCAAGTGCTATGAGCCAGGCATTAGGTGAGGCATTTTATATGCATTGTCTCATTTGATCCTCACAGCTCCATCAGTGACACAAGATAATTATCTCTATTAAGCAGATGAACAGATCATGGCTTATTAAGGTCACCCAAGGTAGATTTAGGAAGCCTGGCTCCTGAATCCACTTTCTTGGCTACCATGTCCCTAGGCTCTGTCAGGTCAATTAAAGGATAAGTTAAAGGATAAAACCTTTGTGGCTCTATCATGTGCAGACTCCTTCAATCACCCTAATCCTGGGGACTAGCTAAGTGATTTCCAAACACTCACCCCTCCCCCAGTTTCTGGATGAAGAGGTAGCGCTTATTGTCAATGATGACAGTTCCCCGAGAGCAGACACACAGCGCGTGGCCCATTGTGTCTCAGTCATCCTCCTCAAGGACGGTCTGAGGTTGCTGAAGGGTTCGTCCAGGGTGAGTGGGCTCTTTCAGGCGATGCGCTGGGGGCCCAGTGGATCGTGCTGGAAGGAAAAGAATGGTAGGATTGTGGGCCACGCCCATTCCAGACAGCCCCAGAAGTACCAACGTTGAAAGCTCGGACCCAAGTCTCGGAACCTAGAGGCCCAGGAGACGCTTCCACGCAGAAGGCCAGGGTCAGGTGCCTTAAAGCCTCAGCACGCAGCGACTACCAGGCCGCTTCCTCCAACTCCAGCCCACCTTTGAGCGGCCCCCTCTCCCACTACTGTAAGGCCGCAAAGCCAGGATATAGGGTAGTTCCGCTGGTGCGAGGCTCGGGCCCATTCATTGAGTTCCACCCCCAAATCCGCGCGCAGAAACCAGGGAATGCCAGCCGGGACTCCCCACTGACCTGGTTTAGTCCCGCGAGACGCTCCAGCTACCGGAAGTATTGATTGCGTCATCAGTCGGCGCCGGCACTATGGCCCGCGGTATCTTAGCAACGTCTGGGCTTTCGGGCTATGTGGGGGCTCGGAGCTCAGAGGCCAGAGTCAGGCTAGGCCTGGGGGAGGACGGGTCTCAGGACCCGAGGGTTCCACGTCTGGCCTGCAGTAGGGGGCAAGACGCGAGCACCTACGCTAAAGGGGAGCAAAGCCGGGCGCGGCGCGAGGCCCCCAGGACCTCCATCTCCCAATGCCGGAGGTAGGAGGCTTCATACCTCCAGCGCGCTGAGTGGCGGACTACATACAGTTCAGCCTGGAGAGAGATGCAGGGAGGGCGGGTGCTGGCGGCGTGGACCCCTGGAACCCCGGCCACTGTTACTCCGGGCTCTGGCCTGTATCTCACACTACCCTAGTCTCAACAGTTAAGACCTCAGACTTTTAAACCAACTGGGGTCTAAATCCGGTCTTAATAGCTTACTAGCTATATGACCTCGGACAAATTACATAACCTCTCAGAGGCTGTTTCCCTAACTGTAAAATAGTTACAAAATACCTAAGGTTAAGTGCATAAACCATGAGGCCAGACTTACCTAGTTTAAATCCCAGCTCTATAAAACTTGGACAGGCCACCTAATATTTCTGTCCCTAGATTTCCTCGTCTATGAAATGGGAATGAAAATTACCGCAGGAAGTTTGAAAATTAAATCAGATGTAAAGTGCTTAACACAATATCTGACACAAAGCCCTCAGTAAGTGTCAATATACAGAAGTTAATGTTTTATTATTATTATTTTTTTTTTTTTACCCTAATCTTTATATCCCAGTTTTGGGTCTATGGAGGCAGCAGTAATGGAAATTCAGATTCCCAAGCCTTGGCACCAAGCGGTTGTCCTTGACAACTCTTGCCCAGGCAGGCAGGGATAAATTGAAGAGTGGTGTACATTCAAAGATGTAATGGCTGGGTTGGTCTCTTTTGCTGAGACAGGGTGCTCCAGGAAAAAAAGATCCTTCTTGTAACGTGGTAGCCCCTTTTCACACCACTGGGAAGATCTTCCTACCATTTCTCTTGTTTCTGAATCGGTTTCAGCTCCCGGGTGCTGACATTCATTTATCTAGATGTAACCTGCTGTGTGCTGGGCCCTATGCTAGAAGCTGAAGATTCAAAATGGCCAAGACATATTCCCCAACCTCAGGGAACTTAATCTAGTGGAACACACAGCTTCTCAATCTTGAATGTGTTCAGGATCACCTGGGGATCTTGTAAAAATACAAATTCTGATGCTGTAGGTCTGAGGTAGGACCTTGGACTCTGCATTCCTAACAAGCTCTCAAGTGATGCTGATGGTCAGTTCAAGATGTAGAGGATTTTATAAACTTGTAAAGTAGCGGGTGGCTGCAGGGTGAAGACAAAGTTCAGGCTAATCTGGCAATTTGAGGTGGTTTCCGCCTCCTTGCTCGCTGAGCTTTCCTCCCAGGAATCCACCACGTGACAGTCGGATTGCCGTCTCTGGCTAGAGGAGCCCTGTTAGCGCCATGGCTCCCAAGAAGCCTCTCTGCCTTCCCTCCCTGCTGCTGCCGATCCTGACGCTGCTGCTGCCCCAGGTAAAATGAGAGGATTGAAGCTGGCTGGGTGCGGTGAGGCAGAATCAGATCTGGCAGAGGAGATAAATGAAGTGAAAATAACAAAACAATTGGCAGGTCTAGTTCCACCTTCTCTACTTTTGGCAGAGGCTGACTGCCGCAGCTCCAGAGCTTTGCTGAGCATGGTCCCTCCCTTTGTAGGCCGGCACTCGGTCGTTCGTAGTGGATCGAGATAATGGCAGATTCCTCCTGGATGGGGTCCCGTTCCGCTACGTGTCTGGCAGCCTGCACTACTTTCGGGTACCTCGGGTGCTTTGGGCTGACCGGCTTTTCAAGATGCGAATGAGTGGCCTCAATGCTGTACAGTTGTAAGTGCCCACAGAGCCCTGGAGGGATGGGATTTACTCTTCGTACCACCACTTTACTGGTTGGAGGCAGGAGGATCGGCAGGGTGGGACAAGGGGTTAGAGCTCCAGGGCCTTCAGGCCTAGGGTGGTTAAGAGAGGGCCAGGACCTCCTTCTAACAGCTTCCTGGTCATTCTCTGCAAGGCCTGAGCCCTTAGGCCTTCCCCAGCATCTCCCTGCCTTGGGCCCTGTTATCCCCTTCCTTTCTCAGTTATGTACCCTGGAACTACCATGAGCCAGAGCCTGGGGTCTATAACTTCAATGGCAGCCGGGACCTCATTGCATTTCTGAATGAGGCAACTATAGCGAACCTGTTGGTCATCCTGAGACCAGGACCGTACATCTGTGCAGAGTGGGAGATGGTAAGTTGGAGAAGGAATAGAACCAAAGCCACCCATGAGCAGTTCCTAGACTGCTTCCATCTGCCCATACTCCAGGGTCACTTCAGCACCATACTCAACTTCCTCCCTTCTTACTCCCCTACTCCACCCTGAAACCACGAAACCTGCATGCTTCTTAGTTTGTCTTTGTGTTTATCTCAGGGGGGTCTCCCAGCCTGGTTGCTTCGAAAACGTACAATTCATCTGAGAACTTCAGATCCAGGTGAGTTGAAACAAAAGATTTAACACAGAAAAAGCCAATGAAAACAACAAAGGGGGTCATTTGGGTGCCCCAAACAGAGACCATCCCCAAATTGGAGATCATGTGTTCAAATATTTATTGAGGTTTCCTTCGTGCCAAGCAGAATGCTAGAAACTGGGGGATTAGACAGACCCAGTTCCTGTTCAATGGAGCTTAGAGTGAAAGAAACAGATTTAAAAACTAAGAACCTATAAGATTATTACAAACTGTAAAAATACCACACAAGGAAAACACAAGTGTTTGAGATTGTGAGTAATAGAGGGGGCTTTTTTTACGTAGGGGGTCAGAAGAGGCTTTTCTGAGAAGATGACTTTTCATTTGACTGTAGGGAAAGGAAAGCTTTGGTAAAATAAAAAGTGAGGCAAGAGGACTGGGTAGAGGGAATGGTATATTGTAAGGCCCAGAGATGGGAAAGAACATGGCATGATTGTGGTCAGCATGGCTGGAGCACTGCAGGTAAGGGAGAGAGTAATAGGACATGAAATTGTACATAGAAACTATCAAGCAGGAACTTGTAGGCCATTGTAAGAGGTTGGCATTTTATTCTAAGGACAGTAGAAAGCCATTTAAAGACTTTAACCAGACCTCTCTGATTTGTTTTCATATAACTTTGGCTTAGATATGGAGAATTGATTGAGAAGAACAAGGGTTGAGGTAGAGAAATTAATTGGGAGACTGTGACTTTAGTTGACGAGAGAGGATGACTTCTGCACCAAGATCATGGTGGAAATGGAAAGAAGAGGGCAGAATTGAATTACAGGTTGGAGATAAAAATCACCAGGACTTGTTGATCGATTTTGATGGGAGACAGAGGGTCAAGGCAGTGTGGGTAGGATCAGGAAAGGAAGGAATCAAGTCTCTGGCCACTCAAAATGGGGGTATCATTTACTGACATAAGGAAGATAGAGAAGACTATGAGTGGCAAAGGAACAATTTTGGGGGGGAAAAACAATACTTCTGGTCATGGTGAATTTTTATCATGTCACACTCAAGTGAGGATATTAAGTAAGCAATAGGATCTGTGAGTGTGAGGCTTAGGGGGAGGTCTGAGCTAGAGATATAAATTTAGGATTCATCAGTCTAAAGATGGCATTTAAATCCATGCCATACTAAGACATCATCTGGGGGAAGAGTATAGAGAAAGAAAAGATGAGAACTCAGGATTAAGCTCTGAGATGTCTCCCACACTGCTTGGACTCAGAGGAATTCCCTGAGAAGATGGGGGTGTCTTTCTCATTTAGTAGAAACCCTCCCAAAATGTGGCTGTAAGAGAAATCTGAAGAATATTACACTTCAAGCTCAAGAGCAGGGACAGAGTAATCTTTGAGGTCCTGTGGTCCTAATGCAGTGCGTTGCAAATGACAGATGTTTAGTAAGTATTAAATAAAATAATAGTCAATGTTAATCAAGTGCTATGAGCCAGGCATTAGGTGAGGCATTTTATATGCATTGTCTCATTTGATCCTCACAGCTCCATCAGTGACACAAGATAATTATCTCTATTAAGCAGATGAACAGATCATGGCTTATTAAGGTCACCCAAGGTAGATTTAGGAAGCCTGGCTCCTGAATCCACTTTCTTGGCTACCATGTCCCTAGGCTCTGTCAGGTCAATTAAAGGATAAGTTAAAGGATAAAACCTTTGTGGCTCTATCATGTGCAGACTCCTTCAATCACCCTAATCCTGGGGACTAGCTAAGTGATTTCCAAACACTCACCCCTCCCCCAGTTTCTGGATGAAGAGGTAGCGCTTATTGTCAATGATGACAGTTCCCCGAGAGCAGACACACAGCGCGTGGCCCATTGTGTCTCAGTCATCCTCCTCAAGGACGGTCTGAGGTTGCTGAAGGGTTCGTCCAGGGTGAGTGGGCTCTTTCAGGCGATGCGCTGGGGGCCCAGTGGATCGTGCTGGAAGGAAAAGAATGGTAGGATTGTGGGCCACGCCCATTCCAGACAGCCCCAGAAGTACCAACGTTGAAAGCTCGGACCCAAGTCTCGGAACCTAGAGGCCCAGGAGACGCTTCCACGCAGAAGGCCAGGGTCAGGTGCCTTAAAGCCTCAGCACGCAGCGACTACCAGGCCGCTTCCTCCAACTCCAGCCCACCTTTGAGCGGCCCCCTCTCCCACTACTGTAAGGCCGCAAAGCCAGGATATAGGGTAGTTCCGCTGGTGCGAGGCTCGGGCCCATTCATTGAGTTCCACCCCCAAATCCGCGCGCAGAAACCAGGGAATGCCAGCCGGGACTCCCCACTGACCTGGTTTAGTCCCGCGAGACGCTCCAGCTACCGGAAGTATTGATTGCGTCATCAGTCGGCGCCGGCACTATGGCCCGCGGTATCTTAGCAACGTCTGGGCTTTCGGGCTATGTGGGGGCTCGGAGCTCAGAGGCCAGAGTCAGGCTAGGCCTGGGGGAGGACGGGTCTCAGGACCCGAGGGTTCCACGTCTGGCCTGCAGTAGGGGGCAAGACGCGAGCACCTACGCTAAAGGGGAGCAAAGCCGGGCGCGGCGCGAGGCCCCCAGGACCTCCATCTCCCAATGCCGGAGGTAGGAGGCTTCATACCTCCAGCGCGCTGAGTGGCGGACTACATACAGTTCAGCCTGGAGAGAGATGCAGGGAGGGCGGGTGCTGGCGGCGTGGACCCCTGGAACCCCGGCCACTGTTACTCCGGGCTCTGGCCTGTATCTCACACTACCCTAGTCTCAACAGTTAAGACCTCAGACTTTTAAACCAACTGGGGTCTAAATCCGGTCTTAATAGCTTACTAGCTATATGACCTCGGACAAATTACATAACCTCTCAGAGGCTGTTTCCCTAACTGTAAAATAGTTACAAAATACCTAAGGTTAAGTGCATAAACCATGAGGCCAGACTTACCTAGTTTAAATCCCAGCTCTATAAAACTTGGACAGGCCACCTAATATTTCTGTCCCTAGATTTCCTCGTCTATGAAATGGGAATGAAAATTACCGCAGGAAGTTTGAAAATTAAATCAGATGTAAAGTGCTTAACACAATATCTGACACAAAGCCCTCAGTAAGTGTCAATATACAGAAGTTAATGTTTTATTATTATTATTTTTTTTTTTTTACCCTAATCTTTATATCCCAGTTTTGGGTCTATGGAGGCAGCAGTAATGGAAATTCAGATTCCCAAGCCTTGGCACCAAGCGGTTGTCCTTGACAACTCTTGCCCAGGCAGGCAGGGATAAATTGAAGAGTGGTGTACATTCAAAGATGTAATGGCTGGGTTGGTCTCTTTTGCTGAGACAGGGTGCTCCAGGAAAAAAAGATCCTTCTTGTAACGTGGTAGCCCCTTTTCACACCACTGGGAAGATCTTCCTACCATTTCTCTTGTTTCTGAATCGGTTTCAGCTCCCGGGTGCTGACATTCATTTATCTAGATGTAACCTGCTGTGTGCTGGGCCCTATGCTAGAAGCTGAAGATTCAAAATGGCCAAGACATATTCCCCAACCTCAGGGAACTTAATCTAGTGGAACACACAGCTTCTCAATCTTGAATGTGTTCAGGATCACCTGGGGATCTTGTAAAAATACAAATTCTGATGCTGTAGGTCTGAGGTAGGACCTTGGACTCTGCATTCCTAACAAGCTCTCAAGTGATGCTGATGGTCAGTTCAAGATGTAGAGGATTTTATAAACTTGTAAAGTAGCGGGTGGCTGCAGGGTGAAGACAAAGTTCAGGCTAATCTGGCAATTTGAGGTGGTTTCCGCCTCCTTGCTCGCTGAGCTTTCCTCCCAGGAATCCACCACGTGACAGTCGGATTGCCGTCTCTGGCTAGAGGAGCCCTGTTAGCGCCATGGCTCCCAAGAAGCCTCTCTGCCTTCCCTCCCTGCTGCTGCCGATCCTGACGCTGCTGCTGCCCCAGGTAAAATGAGAGGATTGAAGCTGGCTGGGTGCGGTGAGGCAGAATCAGATCTGGCAGAGGAGATAAATGAAGTGAAAATAACAAAACAATTGGCAGGTCTAGTTCCACCTTCTCTACTTTTGGCAGAGGCTGACTGCCGCAGCTCCAGAGCTTTGCTGAGCATGGTCCCTCCCTTTGTAGGCCGGCACTCGGTCGTTCGTAGTGGATCGAGATAATGGCAGATTCCTCCTGGATGGGGTCCCGTTCCGCTACGTGTCTGGCAGCCTGCACTACTTTCGGGTACCTCGGGTGCTTTGGGCTGACCGGCTTTTCAAGATGCGAATGAGTGGCCTCAATGCTGTACAGTTGTAAGTGCCCACAGAGCCCTGGAGGGATGGGATTTACTCTTCGTACCACCACTTTACTGGTTGGAGGCAGGAGGATCGGCAGGGTGGGACAAGGGGTTAGAGCTCCAGGGCCTTCAGGCCTAGGGTGGTTAAGAGAGGGCCAGGACCTCCTTCTAACAGCTTCCTGGTCATTCTCTGCAAGGCCTGAGCCCTTAGGCCTTCCCCAGCATCTCCCTGCCTTGGGCCCTGTTATCCCCTTCCTTTCTCAGTTATGTACCCTGGAACTACCATGAGCCAGAGCCTGGGGTCTATAACTTCAATGGCAGCCGGGACCTCATTGCATTTCTGAATGAGGCAACTATAGCGAACCTGTTGGTCATCCTGAGACCAGGACCGTACATCTGTGCAGAGTGGGAGATGGTAAGTTGGAGAAGGAATAGAACCAAAGCCACCCATGAGCAGTTCCTAGACTGCTTCCATCTGCCCATACTCCAGGGTCACTTCAGCACCATACTCAACTTCCTCCCTTCTTACTCCCCTACTCCACCCTGAAACCACGAAACCTGCATGCTTCTTAGTTTGTCTTTGTGTTTATCTCAGGGGGGTCTCCCAGCCTGGTTGCTTCGAAAACGTACAATTCATCTGAGAACTTCAGATCCAGGTGAGTTGAAACAAAAGATTTAACACAGAAAAAGCCAATGAAAACAACAAAGGGGGTCATTTGGGTGCCCCAAACAGAGACCATCCCCAAATTGGAGATCATGTGTTCAAATATTTATTGAGGTTTCCTTCGTGCCAAGCAGAATGCTAGAAACTGGGGGATTAGACAGACCCAGTTCCTGTTCAATGGAGCTTAGAGTGAAAGAAACAGATTTAAAAACTAAGAACCTATAAGATTATTACAAACTGTAAAAATACCACACAAGGAAAACACAAGTGTTTGAGATTGTGAGTAATAGAGGGGGCTTTTTTTACGTAGGGGGTCAGAAGAGGCTTTTCTGAGAAGATGACTTTTCATTTGACTG